AAAAAAAAAAAAAAAAAAAAGAGCTTATTCTTTTACAATTCATATGCTATATGTAAATCATAATATGTGACCAGAGTCAATATAACTTAAGCACGATGTAAATAAGCATTTCTCATTTACACATTTTTTGTAAGAATTTGTTACAAAGTGCAGTTTGAAAATCTCCTGTTGAATTCCAGGTCCTGATCTTATTTGGGATGTGAATTAAGAAGGAGAGTTTGTGGAAAATTTGTTAACAGGGTACATTAGATGTGGCTTAATTGGGATGCCATATAACTGAAGCCCATAATTATATACATTTATCTTTTTTTTTTTTTTAGTTCCAAGTATTATATGGAAAAATTCTGATTGCTTTAATTCTTTGCTTATACATCTCATTTCAGCACAGCAAACTGAATGTAGCTTAATCACTGTCTAGAAGACTGATGCAAAGCAGTGCCATACTGAAATATATAGTTTATGTAACTTTTAATCAATGCTTTTATTTCTTAAGCGGATCTGTATTGAAGGAGCCCTGTTATCTCAAGCCACCAAACTAGGATCAAATGAATCCCTGCTGAATTCTAGGAAAAAGGGTTCATTGGAATCCAGTGGGCTAGAGAGCCAATTTCAAGGGTCCACTGAGCCAGCCTACAACAGTGATCAGGATGAAAATCTCCAGACATCTGCTGCAGAACAGGTTGATGCTGACGATGAAGAAGAATCTGAACAGGTAGGAAAAAGAATAGAATAATTTTTTTTTTCTCTCCTGGAGTGGATGGAAAGTGGATTAAAAGTACCTGTAAAATTGCAAGGAGGCTTGAACATCTTAGAAGTATTTGCAACTTCTTCTCCTTATAAATATTTTAATTTTTATTTTTATAAATATTTTATTTCCTTTCTCCTAATCCAGTTCCTGTGTGTTCTTCTACATCTGTGTTCTCACACATTCTGCTTTCATCTCCTTTTGACAAGCTGTATGGATTGACTTCATCTAATTGGTTATTATAAAGAAAGTTTTCTAGGCTCTGAGTCATTCCTGTGTGCTTTGAATACTCTTAAGCATTTCATTATTCAGCTATGGGTGCGTGACCTGGCTCTGCTATTCTAGCTCCTTAGTAACCTTTGAATATGGCTGCACAAAGCAGTGTGCATTTTAATGCTCCTAACTTGTTCTGTTCCTTTAAATCACAGGGAATGCAACAAAATTCACTACAGAAATCAAAAGGAGGAAGGAAAAGACTTAACAGTCAAGCTGCTGAAAATGTTGAAAAAAGGAGAAGTGTGAATCTCAACAAGTGTGAAATGCAGGTATATAAACTTTTTTACTTTGGCTTTGCTGTGCATCATAGGTACATTAAAGAAATGTATGGATTCCTTTAGGTAGACAGAGAAGTCATTCCATGTTTTTCATGTGCATGAACCTCAAAGCGTATTCTCTGGGGGGCAGGAAAACAAAACAAAGCAATCGACCGTAACTTAATCCAAAAGAAGGAATCTTCTCTCTCTCTGCCAGATACACCTACAGCATCCTTCACGTTTGCATTGGCAGGCATACGGCCTTGTTGAAAATGCTGAAAATTTACTCCAAAAAAGAAAATGAAAAATTTTCAATGGCATGTGCTAGAGAGCACAACATACCTTTCTGCTAGGATTATATGCAATGGGAAAGGGAAGAGAACAAAACTTTTGGCACAAGACCAGAGTAAGATTAGTTAAATCTAATTGTGGAACTGCAGAGTTAGCATAAAATGTTTAATCCAACCCTGCCAAATAAATTTGCCTTTAATTACTCATGCTTTAGCATGATCCCAGTGTCTTTTATTTGAAGTAAGGTGATATTAAATGCCAAGAGTGAACTCTGAGCCAGAGAAAGGATTAAGGGACAAAGTAATCTGGCACTGACACCATGGTTTCCCTGCTCTCTAGTGAGCAGCCTGCTTATCCTACCCATTTCCACCGGACTCCATGCTGCAGGACACCCTGATAATGTGAAAGTTCTGTGAACAGAGAGAATCTTTGTATTATTGCAGGGCACAGACTAACATTACCTGCATATTTCAAATCTCCACAGAGCTCCAAGGATCCTTCAGATGAAGAGTCAAGCCAGCTGAATACTGATCTCCCATTTTCCTGTTCAGCTAGACAGTCGCAGTCACCCAGACAGTTCAACACACCCCAGAACAACTCACTGATCATGAATATCCTGGGGGGAACCACCTCTGTCAGAAACATCTGGACAGACCACCAAATCAGGCAGGCATTGTTTCCCAGCCGGCGTCCACCTTATGAGAATGAAGATGATGATGATGATTATCAGATGTTTATGCCATCGATGTCTACATCCAACACTGGTTCAGCTGTTAGTGGAGAAAGGAGGAGTCACTCCGATCGGCCGTGCAGCTGGCACCTGGGGGTAGTGCATCAAAATGAAACTCCTAGCTCCAATCGTCATAAAATCGTTCGAAGGGCCAGTAGTGCTGGTGAGAGCAACACATGTCCAACCATCACCAGATGTAAGATCAGTGAGCGCAGTTCTCGAAGGGATGTGAAAAGAACAGAGGTGAACAGTATGAATGCATATCCTGAATCTTCAGAGGAGCTGACCATTGATGATATTGAACATGTTTATGACAATATAAGCTACGAAGACTTGAAGCTGATGGGTCTGACAAGAAGGGAAGAAACACACCCTGGTCCCCAGAGATCTGCTAGAGACTCTCTTTATGAGGAGGAAAATAAAAGCAGCTTAAATTCACCCTCCAAAAAGAGGACAGCAAGTCAAAGCAGAGCCTCCCTTCATGCTAGCAGGGATGAGATCCTACTTGGTAGAGAAGCACCTGCTTCAAGTTTGGATGAGCTCAGGATTGTTGAAGATAACATCTATGACACCATTGTGCTTCCAGAAACACCACTATTGAAATTTAAACATGATCCCTTAAAATGTTCTAAAAAGCGGAGTTTTCTGGGCATGGAAAAAGATGTGACATGTTCTGACAATCTACAGCAGTTTGTTTCTGAAGAGAGTCTCCAGTTCAGTGAAGATGAGAGTCCTTACCATCGTCTTCCCATTGACAATGACTATCTGAGCTTAGTAGATAGCTCTTCCAATTCTGACTCGCTGTCCCATAAGTCTGCAGCAGATAAACTCTCAGAGGAAGTAGATGAGATCTGGAATGACCTGGAAAACTACATCAAGAAGAATCAGGAAAAGACAAGAGATCGGCATCTTGCAGCCTTTCCTGTTTGTAAAGATGATATACAGGAAAGGCTGCATGCTGGTAGTACACCCGAACTGAGTAAAGATGTAGAGTACTCATTGTCTACTCTCTCTCTTCCAGAAACTCCTATTTTCCCTAAAACTGTGAAACCCAGGGCTGCCACCATAAGTGAGGCTAGTCTCAGGCTTGAAGACACCATGGCATGCAAGGAAAGCTCTTTAGCAAGTCTGAACAGATCTTCCTTCTCGGGTGAGGTGCCATTTGTGGATAGCCCATACGAATCTGCCAATAGTATTCTGTCCAGTGCACATACAGAGTGCATGGAAAATGACCTGGCTATTGTGGATAAAACGAAGAACAGAGTTTTTATGATGGCAAGGCAATACAGTCAGAAAATTAAGAAAGCTAACCAGCTTTTGAAGGTTAAAACTCCTGAGCAGGAGCAGCCAGCTAGCAGACAACAGAAAATGAAGCACAAAGATCTTGCTGCTATTCTGGAGGAGAAGAAACAAGGTGGTCCTGCTATCGGTATGTTAAAAATATTTCTGTACAGATTTACTTTTTTAGGTACTTATAGTGAAATTCATATACTGAATTGGAGGATAGAATCTTCTTTATCTTATTAGCTGAATATCAGTACTGCATTTTTGGTGTCATGGTTTTATGACACTGAAAGGAATTTCCTGTGACTGCTTCTGATGTGAATAGTCCTTTATATCTCAATAAACTCTTGCCGTTACTTGATAAAATTGGGAAGAATTGGTGGGGTGTTGGCAGGAGGGATAGGAAATAGAAATCATGCCTGAAGCATCACTGGCTGCTTTACCAAAAAGAAAAAAAAAAACAAACAAACCAACTAACAAAAAAAAAAAACGAACAAAAAAGCCCCAAACCTGCAATTATTTCCTTTAATAGAGTGATCTTCCTATTTTTAATAAAAAGGTGCAGAGATTTGCCTTCATAAACCATGTAGATTTGTTCAGGTAACATCCACATCACACTTACAAGCGTAAGGAATGGGGTCAGATAAGAAGGTTGGTCTTCTTATTCTCTGTAATGAATGTGCAAAGTAATGGATATGCTGCAAGAATTCTGGAGGTTTTTTGTTCATATTCAGTTGAAACAAATTGGAGATGTGAAGCCAGTGGACTCGACACACTAGTGTCATTATCGCCTTTATAAAAGTCTCTAAATATGCCTGCATTGGAAATAGTGTGGCCAGCAGGAGCAGGGAGGTAATCATCCCACTGGTGAGGCCGCACCTCGAGTATTGTGTTCAGTTTTGGGCCCCTCACTACAAGAAAGACATTGAGGCCCTTGAGCGTGTCCAGAGGAGGGCAATGAAAACTGGTGAGGGGTCTGGAGCACAAGTCCTATGAGGAGCGGCTGAGGGAGCTGGGATTGTTTAGACTGGAGAAGAGGAGGCTCAGGGGAGACCTCATTGCACTCTACAACTTCCTGAAGGAAGGCTGTGGCGAAGAGGGGTTTGGCCTCTTCTCCCAGGCAATGAGCAGGACCCGGGAAAATGGCCGCAAGTTGTATCTGAGGAGGTTTAGGTTAGACATGAGGAAAATCTTTCTCTCAGAAAGTGGTCAGATGCTGGAATGGCCTGCCCAGGGAGGTGGTGGAGTCGCTGTCTCTGGCAGTGTTCAAGAGGTATCTGAATGAGGAACTGCGAGATCTGGTTTAAGTAGCTTGTGGTAGCAGTGGTAATGTGAAGACGGTTGGACTAGATGATCTTATAGGTCGTTTCCAACCTTGTGATTCTATGATTCTATGATATTCCATTTACCAGGCTATTTTCAGAAAGTTTTTTTCCATTTTGTCATGAAATGGTATATAATTGGAACTGTCTGTTTCCTTTATCCTGTGGTGGTGTCTGCAATTAGATCAAATGTAGTAAATATTATATATATATATATACCAATATATACCATATATCAAGTCATGCTGGCAGAATTGCTCAAGAATTAAACACTGAGGCAAATTCTAAGATTGAGAATTTGAAAAAACATCCCAGAATTCAGTATAGAACCAAATTTCAGCAGTACTTAAAAGACCTCTGACTGTTTCCTACTAACCATTTCTCTCAGTGAGATACCATTGGCTTCATAATCATCTCTTGGAAGCCCAGCAGTGCATTTCCTTGCTCTGATATGGCATGAAAGCTACTGTGAATCTGCTCCCTCTGGTGTCTCTCTGATGCAAAAATCCTCTCTCCTACACCAGCCTTTCAACCAGATGTCACTGTCTCCTCTCCACCTCCCTTCACAGCTCTCAGACTCTTGGGGGTAAGGAGGGAAAGGAGGAGAAAGAGCAATCAGGCAGGTCATTAGCCTTCCTGTCTTTTCCCAGTGTAAAAATAACATAGAAAAAAAAAAATGAAAATTGCATTCTTTCATGCTTTCACCATACATTTCTGCATTTAGCTGGATGGGTTTTATTTGTAAGACAAGCTTCAAGCTAGGGAACAGGCTGCAGTTACAGCTATGTGAAACAGTGGTCTGGTCAAACTATACTTCTGGCCAGAAGGTGCAGACTTGTAACAAGGGTAAGAGGCTGGAAGGCGCTTCAGCTCCACTAAGCTCTCTCTCTCCAAGGTAGGGCAATTATGCCTGTGTCTTATTGGTAGGATTCAGGTTTAGAGGAGTGAAATCATTTTCTTTTAAGATGAAAACTTAACACTCTGGTTACTTGAAAATACAAGATGATGAAACAGTTTCAGATTTAATAGTAGTTTTTTTTATAAGTCTTTTGTTTTCTTTTTTTACTGAGAGTTTTGGGATCTTCAAATTTTTATGTGACTCAAATGAATGGGTCGCTTTGTCTCAATTAAAACCTCTCTCTTCCCTAGGTGCCAGGATAGCTGAGTACTCCCAGCTTTATGACCAGATTGTCTTCAGAGACAGCTCACCCAAGGTCCAAAAGGAAGCCTGGGCCAGCCCTCAGGAGCCCTCAGCTGTGAGGTTTTCCACACCTCTGGCTAGCACTCTTCCCTGTGCCCAGGTCACTGGTGAGTGCTCCAGAGCAGAGGATTGGCTTTTGCACTCTACCTACAGCAATGGTGAGTTGGCTGACTTTTCTCCATGGCCAGAATCCCAAGACGCAAAGTCCAAGAGCTCATATGCAGAAGCTGTGACAAAAAACAGTCCCAGACAGCTGCCGTCGGCCTGCTCAGTGCCTTCCCTTCAGATTTCTAACCGCTTGCATGTCCCAGCGCAGAGGTGGAGTGCAATTATCAGCCAACCTAACAAAGAAAACTTACACCAAGATCATATCTATAACTCCCTTGGGAGAAGAGTGAGCAGCATCAAACCACAGACATACAGTAGGTCACAGTCATCTTCTTCGATTGTGGTCAATAGATCTGGAGAATCAATTGTATATCCTAATGAAGCAGACAAGAAAACGCTTCATTCCGATAGGAACTTCCGTCTCAATGGCCATCAAGCGCTGGGTATTGCTTCAACCTGTACAGGGCCTGATATGAGGAAGCAGGTCCCTGAGAACTATTCGGATATGATTTTGCAGGATTCTCAAAAAGTCCTGAGAGTAAACAGGCCCTCCCCTCTGACTGCACAGATGGCAACTCAGAACTATTTTTCTAATTTCAAAGACACTGAAGAGGGGGAAGGGGATGATGATGACTATGTTGAAATAAGGTCTGAAGATGAGGGGTCTGATGTGGAGGCTTCTCAGAACCAAACAAGGAAACTCGATCCTAAATTGCACAACACGGACACTGATCCTTCTGAAACTCTCTGCGGCAAAACTGTGTCTTGTACTCCTGCAAAGCCCACTGGCAGCAAACACACGCTTACCCCATATCTGACTGCATACAGTGATTCAGATAAACTGAATGACTACCTGTGGAGAGTGCCATCTCCCAACCAGCAGAATATTGTCCAGTCTTTACGGGAAAAGTTTCAGTGTCTTAGTTCCAGTAGCTTTGCTTGATGCTTTCAGTGATCTCTAGCTGTACTGCCTTAACATGAAGAGTATATACTGGGACAATCAGTACTGGCATTATGTATTTCTGTATTATTACACTATCAGGCATTGTATCACAGTAATATTGTAAATAGATTTTTTTTAATGGTTTAGAATCCTGGAAGTTAAAAGGCTACGTGTGCACTGTCTGCTGTCTTGCTCCATAATGCAGGTGGACTTATGATCCCATATGGAGCCTCTGTATCTTTCTTCTGCACAGCTCAGTTTCTTGCTAGGTGTGATACCTTTTTTTTTTTTTTTTTTTTTAAGCTGTCTAACCCAGATTTGACACTGATTCTTAAGCCATGTTACCACGTGGGAACCTTAGCATTTGAACTTCTGAGTTGTGACCAGTTCTGTTCTTACAATGACTCTGTTTGCACATGGCTACATCCATAAATGTGCAAACTTCTAAGCCAGGTTCTGGTAATGATGGCATCATGCTATATGTGCAGTTGCACAAAGCTGCTGCACATTACTTCTCAAAAAGAGAGATTCCAAGTCTACAGGACCAATACATGAGTTACCAAATATACTATGTTGATTTAGAACAGACTTCTTATGTTTTAAGCAGAACCTAGTCCTAGTACTTATGAGAGATGCTGATAGCTGTGTCTGGAGCCTTTCTACTTGCTGTGGCTGCACAGTTGGCAGAGAATGGGCAGAGGCATCTTTTTATGTGAATCTGTCAATGTGAGATCATCCTTGTCTGGAGGGTATTTGGGACAGCAGAAGGGAATTCTGCTGCTTATGTAGATGAGTGCTAGCTTTGTGCCTGTAGTGTATGGGACATGCAGACTAAATCAGAGCCCAGCAGTGGAAAGCCACTGCATGTGGCTTGGTCAAGTGCAATTGATACACAGTGATCTGGAGGTTTCTCACATCCCATGTCAGTAACCCTGAGAGAGAATGGGACTTGTGTGTGTGCTTGGGTGAAACATGCTGAGCTCAGGCTGTGGACTGTTTCTACAGTAGTGCTGGCTGAGGTACAGGCTGCTTCCTCCAGGGCAGGGTGGGGTGAAAGAGGCATCTTCAGAACAAGGTGGGCTGAATATAATTCAGTGTCTATATAAGAAGTTGAAACATGAGAACGTATTCCATTCTTTTGCAAATAATGTACAGAGTAAACACTCCCATTTACAACAAGAATAGACTTTCCATTGTGATGCACATTTACTCTGTTTTGTCATGGTTGCACAGCTTTGGATTCTGTTACTTGAAAACAATGTACCAAGAAGAAAGCCTCAGTATGTCTACACTGACCATCCTGTGTGATTGCTATTCTGTTTTGGTGCTTAAGTTCTTCAGATGATGCAGATAAAGCCAGTACCAAGTTACACATATCAGTATGTAAAGGAGCTGAAGTACTGTTTTTATTAACCATGTATGGCTCCCCTCAGTTACTGCACTCCCGGACTTGCTGTCTACTTTCTCCATTGGTTATCATGAGCAAAACCCAAAGTTATCAATGTACAGCTAATTACTTGTAGAATAAGATTTAAGGACTTGAATTTCTTAGAATGGATTAAATTATTTACCAGCTGCATTGATTGGTCACTCACTCGTTGCATGTACCAACTTGTCCAAACCAGCAGCAGTGATGCTCTGCACAGATGGAACCACAGCCAGCCTGATAAAATTAGCAATGTACAGAATTAGGCTGCCGAGAAGTAGTGGAGCCCATATTTATTTATTAGAGCTTGTAAAGTACTGTAAATACCCATAGGAGTTGCATCTGTACTTTGCCCCCGCACCTCTATGTTGTTTGGAACTCGCACCTCGTGCAGTGGGTGCAGATGGGAGGAAAAAAAAAAAAAAAAAGGAAAAAAAAAAAAAAAGGGAGGTGTACCAGCGCGTAACTTGTCTCCCAGGGACCATTTCATACTATTTGTAATAAACGTGGAGTATGCAACGAGCTGCGGTTCTTTTCTTTCGGGGGAGGGCACAAGCGAGCGGGGCTCCGCCGGGGCGGGCGGGGCGAGCAGTACGTCCCGCCCGCCCCTTGGTCGGCTCTCCGCCCCGGCTCCGCAGCCAGCGCGCAGCCCGCAGGAGAATGAGAAGTGAAGTGCTGCGGCTCTGCCACCCGATGCGGCTGTGCTTCTCTCTGCCCTTCGCTGCCGCCCCGTACCGGGCGCTGAGCGGGTGGCAGGCAGCGGGCGGCCAAGCCGCGCGGTAAGCGGAGCGCGAGGGGAGGCGGTGCAGGCTGATGCAATAGCGGGGGGAGGAGGAGGGAGAGGAAGAAGAAGAAGAAAAAGAAAAAGAAGAAAGGGTGGGGGGGGTGGTTGGGTTGCCTCGGCTGAGGGGGGGATCTTGTGCTGGGGCGTTTCGGGCGGTTGCGGGGTGGTCTAGGTGAGGCTGCGCACGCGGATGTGCACGTGGATATGTGAGCTCTCCTCTCCTCCATGTGGCCGCTGAGACAACTTGCTGGTGACTGGCTTCTGCGAGGAGGGATGAGATAGTAAAACGCCTCTTTAGTCCGCCTCTTCCCAGTTAGCGGGGGCCAAATGGGGATCTCCCATTCCCTACAACGTGTCCTGTCGCCACTCCCTTTGTGCAGAAGGAGACGGAGCAGAACCCACGGCAACTCACCCGGGGATGTTTACCAGAGAGTGTTCCCAGTGCCTGGCTACGGTTCCTGCTGTTTTTCCAAGAAGTGGTGCAGCAAATAAAGCTCCTCTGTCTACCAGCTGCCCGCAGCCCCGAGAAGCATCCAGAAAATGGCAGTGTCACAGCCAGCGTTGTGTGAGGAGTTGTGCTTCCTCAGTCCTGAGCCAAGGATATGGAGGGCCTCACCTGGTCCCGAAGCGATGTGGAGTGCTGGTTCCTTGCTGTGGGGTCAGACAAACCTGATGAACAGAACACAGCTGTAAAGTTTAGGGCATGTTGGAACACTGATGCATACAGCTGGAAAAGGAAGATATTTCAGTCTGTTTAGGTTTTCTGTAACTGGCTGCTGAATGCTGCCCTTCGCAATATATGGTAATTCTGGTGATTAAAAATGTACCTGCCAAAGCAACAGTACTGCTGACTAGTGGAGGCTTCCATTAACTGATGTTAGAAAGGTTTCATGTTTGATTGGATTCTTTTGCTAGAGATGTGCCTGTGTTGTTGTGTTGCAGCAAAATCACTGAGAATGCAAGAAAATCTTTGGCCTCTCTGAAGAGAGAACACCCACGGCTTGAGCCAACGCTTGCCATTATTCAGGTATTTGTTCAGCTACTTACATGGGGCATAGTTGTAACATATTCCTTTGGTGCTGTTTCCTGTTTGAAACTTCAGAGATGTGTGATGCAGGAAGTAACCCTGTTTTTAAGCAAAATAGTGGCAGCAGGTAACCCCGTCGGCTTGCAGTTCAAGAGAGTGAATGCTTTCTCTTGCACTGTCTAAGTGAATTGATAGATGGTTTTAAAATCAAAGTAGTATTTCTCAGCGTTTATTTTGCTTGAAGCTCTTGCAATCCTGCAAATAGTGCTGATAGGTGTGAAAATCAGGGTCTCTCTTGACTACTCTCTCCTGACATATCTTTGCCTGGCCAGAGGAAAGCCCTCCTTCTTCCTGCCCACCTTCCTGTCTGCGGCCAAAGCAGAGGAGCTGAAGGGAGGCCTCATTGCTGCTGCAGCTCTTTGTGAGGGGAGCAGAGGGGCAGTGCTGAGCTCTGCTTTCTGTGACAGCGACAGGGAATGGCATGGAGCTGTATCAGGGCAGGGGCAGCTGGGGGTTAGGGAATGGTTCTGCACCAGATAACGATGAGCATGAAACAGGCTGCCCAGGGCAGTGGGCACCCAGCAGCCCCGAGCAGCCAGATTTCAAGGAGTGTTTGGACAGCATTCTTAGACATAGGGTTTAATTTTGGGTGATGCTATGCGGAGCCAGGGGTTGGACTCAGTGATCCTTGTGGGTCCTTTCAAACTCAGGATATCCTCTGATACTATCCAGTGGGTTTTAATTGTAAAACCTAACTATATTTTTGAAATAGTAATAGTGATTCTAAGAGGCAGTACACTAACTTTTCTTCAATAGGTATTCTGGAGAGGCTGAGTGAACAAATTCCCTCCATGACTGCTTTTCAAATAGCCCTCTGTATGGCTGTCAGTGTAAGATCTGACAGTAGAAATGACCCTCCTCTTGATGGCTTTCAGTTTCTTGCTTCTGCCTTGTCTCCATGCAGTTGCACAGTGAGCTGGAATTCATCCATGCTGTTCTGGACTGGGGTTACCTGAAGAAGAGGCTCCCGTTTCCCTACAGACTATTCTCCAGTCTGCATTGGCCATAGGAGTGTTTTATGCTGTCACTTGGGAAGGGACAACAGTGTTAGGTGGAATGGAGCAATGTGTGAGAAGTTCTGTCTCATTTGTGCTATAATTTAGGATGCATCAAGGCCTGTGTTTTGGTTTGGATCATGACTGTGCTTTAAACATACATTCCTGTGGTCCCTGTTTACCCCACCTGATTTGCATTATGAGAGGTCTTTATAACATGTGGAGTCCTCAATCCTTCTGAGTGAAATTCACCCCTTGGGTGTTCTCCAGTTAACAGTCACTAGCTCTAGCCTGGCTGCAATGGTTGAAGTAGAATTCCCTGTATGTGTGTATTTGCTGAATTTGTACTCAAAGAGGGTTTATTGTAGTTGACTGATAGTGCTCTGCTTTACTGGGCAATGTGGGCAGAGCACTAAGGTCTGTGCTGCTGTCCAAGTGACATGTTGCAGCCAGAAGAGCATAGATGGCAATGAGATAACCCCTTGATCCAGTTGTTTGCAGCTGGTACAGTGTGCTGCCAATTCACTAGGGGAATGTGGAGTTTCACACTGAATCCACTCTATAAGTGCTGTCAGATGCCATCTGAACCTGATTGGCTTTGTGATTAGTAACCAGCATTTTTTGTAATCTGCCTTGAGACTGAGTAGAGGCTGTACCACAAGAATAACAAAAACTTGTGTTTACTTCTTAGTTATATTGAAGCTCTCTGCCCAGAGAGGTTGTGGAGTCTCTTTCTATGGACACCTACCTGCATGACCTATTGTAAGGAACCTACTTCAGCAGCAGGGGTTGGACACAGCGATCAATTGGGGTCCCTTCCAACTCCTGCAGTTCTGTGAGTCTGAGAATATAATATCTGGCATCTGGATCCTGTGCAGTGCTGGAGCTGTTGCCCTGTGACTATCAGCTGTGCACTGCCAGATTCTGCCCTGCCTGCATTGGTTGTCAGCTTGGCCTCCCCATGCTCTATGGATTGTGGTGAGACCAGGCTGGTGCAGGGACTTCTGCATGGAGTGAGCTCTTTTGATAGTGTGATGGGGTGGCTGAATTGCAGTCAAGCACTCAGTCCTGTTGGTCAGATCACTGTTGTGGGAATGCAATTCCACAATGTTCAGCATAAGGGAAAAGCTGGAGAGCTGTCCTTAACACACTCTATCCTTTCCTTGCCTTGGCATTAGGTTCACTGGTGTTCTCCATGCAGTGGCTCCTACAGTGCTCCTCATCCCTAGATGCCAGAGGAGTGGCAGTGTTGTGCCAGGGATACAGGCAGTGCTGGGCTCAGGAAGGGAGATGGAAGATATCATTACCTACTTTAAATTCTGCTGGTTTTTGTTGTTGTTGTTTTTGTTTTCTCATTTTTTTCAATCTTTTTGGAGGGTTAGTGAATTATTACAGACTTGGACCAAAACCATTTGTGTGACACCAGTTACAAATTAAACCAGTGCCAAATGAGTGACTTGACTCCAGTGGGAAATCATTGGCACTGAGGAAGTCTTGAGGAAAAAGCTACATAGAATATGTGTATGGAATTGTAATAAACTCTTTAAAAATAGTTTATTGTAGTCCTGTTGTCTGAATTGGAAGATAGATTTTGTTTGTAATCATTTGGCTGTGAGAATAACTGTTTTCCTTGTTTGTTTTTAACAAATCTTCCGGCGTTCATGGGGGTGGAAGTCTTGGTAATCAGTTAATAGGAAGTTTCTGGTTCTGAATATTAAATCCTGTTTTATTGTTGCAGTATACAAAAATACGTGAAAAGCCTCCTAAAATTCAAGAGTAAATAGTAAGCCAAAAAAAAAAAAAAAGATAAATATGATGCAAATAGTTATGGAGACCTCAGAATAAGAGATTGTGGGGTGAGATTGCTGGGTAGTGCATCTGTCCAGGTTGCTTCTGTTCTGGAGCAGTGTCTGACAGCAACTAGGAGGAGGAGCTGGCATCATCTGCCTCTGTCTGACAGAACTCACTGTAATGTGTGGTGAGGCAAGAGATGCCCTCACTTCCACTGCCAACCCTTAGATGAGATCTGGGAGGGAGTGGATCCTGGCTCCACCTCTGGTCATTGCTTGCACCTGAGCTCCTCTGGGTTGGCCCTGCCTTCCCACCAGGTGCTCAATCACTGTTTCAGGCATTTCCACTACACTAGCGGACACAGATATTCTCACTATGTTTCTTGCATAGTCATGTGTATTAGTTCACTGACATTGCTCAAATGTAAATTTATTGTTTTAAAACATAGTTTCTGTTTTGTTTCCCAAGGCACGTAATGTCCCTTTGGTTCAAGAAATAAACAAGAACTTTGCTGAAGAGGTAAGTTTTAAGCAACGTGCTTGCTATCAGTCATGAGCTACCTTCCTTTGGTAATTGTCTTGTTTTCTTTTGGCAGGTTGGTCTACGTGTGATTCGCATCTGTCTCCCTGAAGGCAGCAGCAAAGATGAGGTAACCTGAAGGACTCTTCCTTTTTTGTTTTTGTTATAAACTCGTATTTATTTCTGACATTGGTTAGCACCCCTGATATGTCTCTGTTAACTCATAAGAATTGGGACACTCTTATGTAGCAA